TTTATAGATTAAATTATTTTACTATGAGTTCATTAAATGAATACTCTTTTGTTTGTTTGATACATACAGCGTCGGACAATAATAAAGCACCGACATTTTAATTCTTTGTAAATTATAACATAACATTTTAAAAATTTCTTTTACAAATGGATATTTTTCGAAGCATAGTTTGAAATTATTTAAGTTATTTAGTATTGTCCGACACTGTATATAGATATGATTCTAGTACTTATGTATTCTTAATGTGATCTAATTTTTTTGTTTATAAAAGAAATAAATTTTTAAACTATACATACATATGTATGGCTATGTATGTTTTTTACATTTCTGGGCCGTTATCTTATCCATTAACGATTTAACTATACTTTAAAATAGGTAAGTTGGCGGCCCTTAATATGCTTTATGTGTTACACAAAAAGTTTTTTTGTTGAATAAAATATTAATTCTTTCCAGAGTTCATTGTTTTTCTGTATCATTACTTATAGAAAATGTTTGCATGTATACTTATATATTTATATGTAGGTAAAAAAATTCAGCTGCCATTTTTATCGACAACGACGATTTTTAGCTCTTTTTTAGCCCTTTTTTAGCCTGAATTTAGCTACCGCTAAAAATGTTTCGCGGCAACACTGATTGGAAACTGTTTCCGAAGCTTACCAGAAACACATCCCGAAAGAAACCCGGATGTAGAACAACCTTAGGGTTAAACGTGATCGTGGCACACCGTAGTGTGTACTTTTAACGCTATCCGATTTACGATGGATGCTAAATTGAGCAAAATGATTATGGCGGGAGTAATAACATTTACTAAATTTTATAATTCGCTTGGCTATAGAAACCAGATATTCTGTGTGTGGATCATATGTATGTACGTATGTATATTAAGGTGGTCCAAAATTATATGTAAAAAAACTAAAGTGAAAAAATATACCCCTACNATTGAGCAAAATGATTATGGCGGGAGTAATAACATTTACTAAATTTTATAATTCGCTTGGCTATAGAAACCAGATATTCTGTGTGTGGATCATATGTATGTACGTATGTATATTAAGGTGGTCCAAAATTGTATGTAAAAAAACTAAAGTGAAAAAATATTTAGAGGTCGCTCAAAGCGCTCAAAGTTTTCTATGTATTTTATATGGGAAAAAACAACTTTTCGTAGAAATGGTATAGAATTCTTATATTCGAATCAATCAATAATTTTCGATCGGAAAACTATAGTTATCTGCAGAAAACTCCAAATAATAATACCCAATTATTTATTTAACGATTTTTTCATAGTAACTATAATTTATAGGTCCGCCAAAAACCCCGAAAAATGCAATTTGGGACCAATAAAAAATCGTTAGGATTAAAAAATGGTTAAATAAATAATTGGGTATTTTATTGAAAGTTTTCCGATCGAAAAATATTGATTTTCAAAAATTCTATATCATTTCTGCGAAAAGTTGTTTTTTTCCCATATAAAATACATGGACACTTTGAGCGATCTCTAAATATTTTTTGTTTTCAAAATAAAAAAAAATATAGGGGTATACTTTATTCGATATAGAACAATCTTAGGTGGTGAGGGAATTAAAATNAAAAATATTGATTTTCAAAAATTCTATATCATTTCTGCGAAAAGTTGTTTTTTCCCATATAAAATACATGGACACTTTGAGCGATCTCTAAATATTTTTTGATTTCAAAATAAAAAAATATAGGGGTATACTTTATTCGATATAGAACAATCTTAGGGGGTGAGGGAATTAAAAGTCCGACTTTACTTTTTTTTTAACCACCCTAATGTATAATATTAGTTCATTTTAATGCCTCACCTTTCATCATTTCGCCGATACTTTGTGGAGGCGAGACGGTCGGTATTTGGAGTATTTTTTTAATGTCCTTTACGGGGACCAGAGCTCGTGATAAATCGCCGGATTTATATTTGAGAAATTCTTTACGCAGATCACAGAAGCGGTTGTAGTAGTTTGGCAGCAGGATGTCTTTGGCACATGCCTCTCGATGCAAGCATTGGCGCAGCGGAAGTTGCCCGTCGGTGATAATTTTCACACTATCGGCATCGTCGGTGTTTAGTGTTAGAGAGCGTAAATACTCATCGAACTGGGAATGGAATTATAATAAACGTAATTAATTTGATGCGTTGATTGTCATTACTATTACAATTTTAAATGTAAATCCTTAATTAAATTAACTGTCCACATGAATCTCTATTGAGGAGGAGCGGAAGAACTAATTTTCGATTTCGAAATTCTAATAATACTAATGGAATAATAATAATGGAATAATAGTTACGGTCGCCCCACGAGCTGGAAAGTTTCGAAAAACTGTCAAATTATGATTCTTTGTTATCTTTTCCAATATTTACATACTAAGCATGTCAAAAATTTTTTTGTATGCATACATACTTTTATGTAGAAAAACTGCGCCAGCAAAAAATTTGCCAAAACTCAACACGAAAATTAAGCAACTATAAACTTGCACTTTATTTGTTATACCAAAACTTTATGTGTCAAAAATCTGTCAGACAATCTTTACAAAGAAAAAAGAAATCAGGCGAGTTTTGAATCCAAATTTTCACTATAGATTAAAATAAGGCGAAGTTATACAAGTTTTTAGCAAGAACACAAAATCAAAGCCGCATGTATTTTGTTTTAGGGATGTTATGTCAAATCTCTATTCGCCTCAAAAACAAAATACATGTAAGGTGAAGAAATCAGCTGATCTAACACCACCTTATATAAATTCGCCCTGAGATTAAAAATTAGTGTTTTTTTAATTTGCCGCAAGCGAAAATTTGGAATAAAAAATCGCTCAATGCGCAATAAAAAATTGCGTGATTTTTAGTTCCAAATTTTCACAATATACATATTAAAATATTATTTTTAAGCTTATTTTCCAGCTCAAGAAAAATTACAAGAAATGTTTTTCATTATTTCTCCCAATTTTTCATATGTATGTATTAGGAATTATATTCAACAATTTTTATGAGTTCGAGGCCGTTTTCAGTGAAAACTTATTGAGGAAAAGCAACAACAATTTGAAAAAATGGTAGAAGTGATAGCTATTTCGGAAATCACCACATTTTCTCATCAGACTTCTTTCAGTAGGATTCGAACCGACCATCACCACTGACTCAGCCTGAAAACGGCCTCGAGCTCATAAAAATTGTTGAATATAATTGTTATTAAGGCCATAAAAAAAAATAACAAAAACAAATGTATGAGGAATGTTAATCCCGGGATCCCGAGATCCCGGTCTTTTTTAAGTATCGAAAATCCCGGGATTATTTGCCTAGAATCTCGGGATTTTCGGGATTTGTAATTTATACTGATGGCAATAATAGAAACGCTTTATGTTGGCCAGTTTTGGCTATATTTCTTTTGTTTATTTAATATTTAACATTTTTTTTATAAATGTGTAGCTCAATATATGTATGTACATTAGAGTGCCCATCGAAAATGCTTTTTTTGGAAATTTCACGACCCTACCCCCTAATTTTGTTCCTTTCTATGAGAAATATAATTGCCTATTTTTGTAGATTTTTTGAAGGTCGTTTAGAGGTCGCGACCTGTCGATTTATGATAGAAAATGGGATTTTGTAGATTTATGGGTTTTTGAATGACTACTTTTGATTCGATTTCAAAGATCGAATACGGTCTGAGAAGAGGATATATAGGTCTTCAAAATGGTAATGATCTATTATCGGTCTTGGCTTGTTGGGATCTTTTATCGGGTAAAAAAAAACATATTTCTCATAATTTTTTTTAATTTTAACCATCGATAACATTCACCATTTCAAAAAATGTAGTACTGTTTAAAAGTACATTTATTTTCAAACAAACTGATACCTCATTTATTGAAATCGCATAAAAATTGTCAAAGTTATGCAACTTTTCTTAAATAANAGTTTTGGCTATATTTCTTTTGTTTATTTAATATTTAACATTTTTTTTATAAATGTGTAGCTCAATATATGTATGTACATTAGAGTGCCCATCGAAAATGCTTTTTTTGGAAATTTCACGACCCTACCCCCTAATTTTGTTCCTTTCTATGAGAAATATAATTGCCTATTTTTGTAGATTTTTTGAAGGTCGTTTAGAGGTCGCGACCTGTCGATTTATGATAGAAAATGGGATTTTGTAGATTTATGGGTTTTTGAATGACTACTTTTGATTCGATTTCAAAGATCGAATACGGTCTGAGAAGAGGATATATAGGTCTTCAAAATGGTAATGATCTATTATCGGTCTTGGCTTGTTGGGATCTTTTATCGGGTAAAAAAAAACATATTTCTCATAATTTTCTTTTAATTTTAACCATCGATAACATTCACCATTTCAAAAAATGTAGTACTGTTTAAAAGTACATTTATTTTCAAACAAACTGATACCTCATTTATTGAAATCGCATAAAAATTGTCAAAGTTAGGCAACTTTTCTTAAATAAAGCCTTGAAATTATATGTTTGTGTACTGTATTTTTATATATTTGCGCAGTGTGGCTAAGAAATTCATTAATATTTACTCAACATTTATATATACCATGACAAAAATATAGTAAGGTAAAACCGTTCTCTCAATTCGTCGGCCATGATTTTTTTTGAAGTTTTGAACAAAATCGAAAAAATTAACCTCCCTTTTATGTATATATGACCGTATTGATTTTTCTGCCTTCAACACTGCGATTAAAATTCATCAAACGTGTGAGTGGTCCATCCAATTAAGATAACTCTTAACCAGTGTCACACGATTTGTACATTTGTACAGATTTGTATATTTTTTATATTCGGCTATTAGTAAAAGTGGGACGACAAATTTTTTCGTAGTCACCAGTGTTGCCGTTTTGATACATATGTATCAATTTGGATACATTTTCGCCTTCAATTTTGAGTGATACTTCGTTTTTTTCCTCAGTGTAAATTTGGATATCTTTTTTCATAAGTATTCGTAAGTTGAAGGCATTTTTTTATTTATTTATGTACGAGCCATTATAACATTTTTAACAGTTGGCTGTTCATTCTCCAAGCAAGAAATTTTCCCTTATTCTTGTGACTTTGAAAAATTAAATTTTTAGCTACATAAGCGTGCATTTAATAGCACCAAGTAGTTTGCAAATTTTAATAAGTTTTCCAACCTGTAGTAGTTAACTGAAATCTCGAGAATCTAATCGTATTATTAAACATCGAACATGCGGAAACTATGGCCCGTAGTTGTAGTCAGTATTTTCCCATTCTTAGAAACAGATCTGGGAAACAAAGGCCCGTAGTTATAGTCAAAATTAAGTCGACACTAAAGTTTCTTGCAGCTATTTTGACAGGTATCCCATTGAAAATGATGACAAAAAGCTGCAGTTAACTTTAGAGTGGACTTAATTTTGACTTTAACTACGGGACTTTGTTTCCCAAATCCATGTCTAAGGATGGGAAAATACTGAATACATGTTAATAAGTTTGATAAGGGGCTGAGTTTGTTTTCCATAGATGCACTAGGTAAAAATGTCCGCTCTTTTCGGTGGATACATTTGGATACAGTTTTTGATTTTTATGGATACTTTAACTGCTAAGGTAGTGGAACTGCTAAGGCAGTTCGAAAACGCCCTATCCCAGAAAACTTTTCAAGAACGCCCTATTTCAGAATTTTATTGAAAAACACGCTATCTCAGAATTTAGTTGAAGAACGCCCCATCTTACTTGAAAATGTGTGTTTTTGAACCGAACTCTGAGATAGGGCCTTCTTCAATCACATTCTGAGATACGGCGTTTAGGAACTGGCTGCTGAGGTAGGTCGATCTTCCACTCAGGTGTCGAAATGTAAATAAACGTCACACAAGAGAGTGTGCTGCCCCCTTAATTTAGAAATCCCTCGGGTTACTTGACTCTCAGCCAGTTGGGCAAGACATTGTCTGGTTTAGGGCTATACAAATTTAAGTCTGAGCTACTGAACTCTGTATTTATATATTTTACTCTGGATGTACTCTGTATGGAAGTAGACCTAAGCAGTTTTAAATTCAATTACATACCTCGTCGATGGCTTCTTTAAGTGGTTTCCCTGTTGACTGTACAACGGCTATTGGTAATTCTTCGGAAAGTAGCGTTGGAGTCACAATGCCAGGTGCTGCTTTTAAATTTGTGCTATTCAGCGTCGATCCATCGGAGATCGTGGAGTTATTATTAATTAGTAAAGTAGAGTTTGGGTTGTTGTAAATACTTTTCACAATCGTGTTGGAGTTGCATATGTTGGTATTGTTGTTGTTAATTACATCGGCATGCTGTGAAGCAAGCGGAGGTGATGACGCGCCATCGACTAGAGGTGCTGCAGACGAACCAGACACAGTAATATCCTTCGCAAACCCTCCTTCAGGTCGCACCAAAAGCTGTTTCGTGCCAATGATCTGGTGGATTGTAAATTTAAATATTGTAATTAAATAATATTCTCACATAAAACAGCTTTCCTTAACGGAGCTGCCAATGGGTTTTAAAGCAATGAAGGGACAAGGGCAAATTTACCGAGCCGGTAAATTGATTATTTAAAGGTAAATACACAAGTACTTGGATATACATTAAATTGTGGATATAAATCATAATTTGGAAATTTTTTTTTTTATTTGAAGGAACTTTATTCCAGATAGAAAATAAATAGCTCGATTTTGTAGTATGAAAGAGTTTTAGTTACAAATGGAATTAAACATGAATTTCGCCATAATCTTTCTCGCTATCAGTATTCGATAAAAAATAAAATCATATCGACTAGAAAAAATGATTCCTGTTGAGGTTAAAGGGATGTTATCTTCCATACCTTTTAGTCAACAACGAAACTTATTTTCAAATCGAATTTTCGTTTTTTCAATTTCACAGTGGATCAACGGTCAAAAATCGTTTTCTATGAAATTAAATAAGATTTCGCAATCATACTTGGCTCACTTATTATTATTTGTCCAGCGTAGGTTAGTAATGAAAATGGGTGGAATCAGATCATGACTGCATCTGCCTTCAATATAACGGAATTTTTGAAAATGCAAAAACCGTAATATTTCAGTAGCTACTGGAGCAAAATTGCTGGGCGTGATCATGTCCAAGTGAAAAAAGAAGCCTACAGGAAAATATATCAGATATCTACGCGGTTAATGATCTATGCATGTTTATAACTACATACCCAAAAATGTTCTAAAAATTCAGATTAAAACATTACTAAATTTTGTATAAAGTTAGAAACTTTGATTAATATGGCTATGATATATTTAGCACAAACAATGAGGTTGTTCACCTGGTTCTCAGGTTATCTTGTTATGTGGTTATATTTTTTATTCAGTTTACAACAATAAACTACACTACAGAATAATACTTTTTAACTAGACAACCCGATAACCAAGCAAGTGTGAACAACCGAAATATTTTCATAAAACACCAGCTGATCCGCCGAATCTCGTACCGACTCAGAATTGATAAATGTAGCGTTAACCTATTAGCTGCATTAAATTCAGTTTTTTTATAATGATAAAATGCAAGCACGAAATGAATTAAGTTCAATAAATGAACAAAAATCCAAATTACTGTGTAAATTGCACTCGGGTCGATTTTCTTCATTTAAGGACATTGTGATATAAGACAAATTTCGTTTTGTTGTCAGGTGCGAGAACGAACAGAGCATATGGTTTTCCGATACGTGACCATACTATGCTCAATTTACAGCGAGAGAAACATTCATTTTATAGAATAGGCCACAAAACATTCAAGGATTGGCCTTATCATTTGTTGATCGTCATGACAAATGCCAGACGAATCGGAAATTGAATTCGTTTAACTCGAATGGCATATCCGTGGGAATCATCGAAATGAGGAAAACTTCCTCACCTTTGAACTTTAATTTGAGTATCGACACAAGAATCACATTGTCTCCGATATATATTACCATATATAATGAATTGTAAGGGCAATATATGTTTTTCGTATAAAATCCACTGCCTTTTATTGAATTTATTTCAAGCTTCACTTCACTGAAGTAGGTATCATATAATTTATTGACATTTTGCGACAAATTTGTGCGATGAGGCAACAAACTTTTTAAATTTAACCCTCGCCGTATTTTGCGCCAATAAATATAAAAAATTTAATAATGTTTTGAAGTCCATTGTCTTCAACTATTTTAAACGGACGACAATTTTGCACAGTCCATTTTGTAAATTGTCGAGCAGCCTCCCTTTTGTCGTCGGCGTCTGCTTCCATTGGTGCATCCTTAAAATCGGTTCGTAATTTCCTGTTTCTTATGTTTCACTAAGTTCGAGGTACTATTTTTGCATATTTTGCATGACACCATATTGGGAATAATGTTTGCGTCCCCTCATCTTGTATTTTGCAAAATATCCCCCAAATCCTGCCTTTTCCCTTATAATAAACATCTTTGAACTCCACAGAATAAATTCTTTCTTCGATAGCAGAATTATTAAGGGCAAAATTCACAGTGCGTAGTTAACCACTGATAAGAGTTTAACTATTGATTTTCATATTCACAACGCTCAGTTAACAAAAGTTTAAACCAGCATGCCCCCATAGTTAAACCCTTGTGAAATACATTTTTTTTTGTGGAACGAATTTCAAATTTGAATAGAAAAGTATTGATTTTAAGAATTTGTATATTTTCAGGCGATACGAATTTCCATAGTTAACTATGTGACTCTGAATATAAATTCATAATTAAACTCTTGTTGGTGGTTAAGTTAACAATGGTTTAACTAAGCAATGTGAATTCGGCCCTAAGAATTTCTGTGGATGATTCTCTATGAGCGCTGATACTTATAGATTCCTATTGGAGTTAAAAATAAAAAATAAACAAAAAATGGAAAGAAATACATATACTTATTGATTACATAAGAGCAGAATTGATAATAAAACTACTTACATACATCTATCTCCATGATGGCAGTAATTATTATTATTCTTTGTTTTTGGAAACGCTGAATTAGTTACAGCAGCACATGAACACACACACAGCTAAATGAACACACACATATCAGGTTCATTCTTATCTTTTTGGACTAAAATCTGAAAAGTGTCAAAATGCCAGAGCGTAAGCAAAATGCGCTCACTAAAAGATAATAACAGGAAAACTAAAGGAACGCAAAAAACCAAATTTTTAGTCCAAAGAATGGCAACAACAAAGCTAACGTCAAATAAGAATGGAAATGTATGTACAAAACATATTCACACAAGCACAAGCACAATAAACACTTACTATGTATATCAATTATTTTTTGCCTCCTTTCAATTTCTATTCACTTTTTTTACTTTTTAGATTATTCTCACTTTTTGCGTATTCTTTAATTTCCGTTAATTTAAATT